TCAACCAAAAAAATGAGTTCGCGTGTCACCTGTGACAGGTGTATCATAGGTTCGCCATCACTGTCCTAAACTGACTAAAAGTCCAGGTCAGGTGTTTCAGGACCTGTCCTCACCTCATTAGACACCTCTTCCTGCTTCCCGAGGGTTTGCATCCTCTCATCTTTCCATTGTTCCTCATTCCACTCTGAGTTGGATATCTTTACTTCCTGCTGCTCAGTGAGCAGTCTCATCAGAAGGCCTATCCCAGAAAAGAGTTTCATCGGTTAATTTTTGAAACTTGAATGGTTAAGTTCCGGTTTAACAGAAGGATTCCTTCTGTTGTTTTTCAAATGGTTCAGGGGCATATCTGCATCGTGTACATTTGAAAGAGGGAGTTTAATGAATGGTAATAAAGTTGATTCTACATCTTCTAGATTTCCCTCCAAGAAATAAGGCAATTGGTAATTTAGTGCACTATTAACATCACTTTTATCATTAAAATCTAGCTGCTCACTCATAAGGGATGAGGAAGTGTCGCTCTTTTTGTTTGAGGATGCCCTCTCTGGCTCAATTGTCAGCTCAGTGCTGATGTTCTGCCGGCCTTGTAATACTTTCATGAGAGTTCCTGCTAATAGGAGTTCTTCATCTGTCAAAAAAGAAGAAATCACATTTGATATTGAAAGACTCATGGGACAGCCATTTGTCAGACCAGAGCCTGCATCCCAGTCCAATATATAGGGAATCAGCAAATATTTGAGTTCCATTTGGAGAGGAGAAATATGAACCCCAACTTACATCTATGATTGTTGACACAACAAAATGAGAAACTGTATCTTTTTTTAAAGTGGTTAATTACTTAGAACATTCCATAGCATGACATATGGTGACTATATTTAGGATTATACCATTGGTCCCCAAGGGCCAACAGCCAGTTGCTGGAGGAAAGCCAGGGCTGGAAGACCCACTCAGTTAGACGCTCTACAGATCTACTGTGAACTCCTCACATTCACGCACCCCATCCTGTCCTGCTTCAGATGCAGAGGGGGCCTGAGCCTTCCTCTCTCCACTCTTCAGGATGCTTGTGTTCTTGCTACCATCACAGATGACCATGATTAACACCCACGGCTAACACGTTCTCATCTGGACACACCCTTCTGCACTAACTCACCGATTCCTTACTTGGGCCCTGCCTCCTCCACATATGGCCCCATAACAGACGGCTCTATACAGAAAAAACAGTATGTCTACCCTCACTCTGTGCTTAAGATTTAAGCAGGTATTCAGGATGTACATTAAGAGACTTGCCAGGTTGTGTACCACTGTAGAATTTTCTGTATATATAAAAGCCTAAGCAACCATCGCAACTGAACAGGCGACCAAACAGGCTGTGTGAGGCAACTAGGCTGGCAGGGGGATTAGTGAGGGGCAACCAAATGATTGAGCAGCAGGCTGCATGCGGTGACCAGGCCCACAGGGAGTTAGTGAGGGGTGACCAAATGACTGAGCAGCAGGGTGCATGGGGCAACCAGGCCCACGGGGGGGTGGGGGGGGCAGTTGTGGGCGACCAGGCCAGCACGGGGGGCAGTAAGTGGTAACCAGGCCAGCACAGCGGCAGTTAGGGGCGACCAGGCTGGCAAGGGAAGAGCAGTTGGGGGCAACTAGGCTGGCAGGAGGGGCAGTTGGGGGTGACTCGGCCAGGGTGGGGGGGGCAGTTTGGGCTGATCAGGCAGGCAGGTGAGCAGTTAGGAGCCAGTGATCCCATATTGTGAGTCAGACATCCTGCAAGGGGTCCCGGATTGGAGAGGGTGCAGGCTGGGCTGAGGGGATCTCCCCATGTGCAAATTTCATGCACTGAACCTCTAGTGTTCAATAAATCTATGAAATAATTTTTGGGGTCCTAAAATATAGAAAGGAAAAAATAACTTTTGTCAGATGTCTACTTTGCTATCATTTCATGTCATTTCTTATATTTTCAGCTGTTCTTGGGGAACCATCCAAAGCTTCTGACTGTGTGAAGGTCAAGTGTGCCATTGTGCAGCTGGTACACAAGAATTTTCAGAAGAATTAAAAGTATTGCTGGTGGTGATAAGGGTGAGAGAAGGAGGTAACGTCCTGGGAAAGAGGAGCATGGTCCTGTGGAAAGTCCAAAACTGGGAGCTGGAGACCTGGGCTCTAGGTTACGGCTCTTAGCCCTTTCTGACCTTGTTTTTATTCAACTGTAAAAGAAGATTAAAAGGCCTATTCTGCCCACTGTTGGGACAGAAGGGAGTAATATAATTGGTCAAAACATTGTTTTGAAAAATAAGCTAAACTGACTTCATGTAAGTAGCACAGCAGTATTATTTATGATGTGCTTCAGGTCACGATGGAAACCTGTATTTAAGCTATCTGGGCATGAAAGCACATTTGGGAAGTTATCAAGTAGCTGCCAATAAACCTAATGTATAGAAAAATACTTAAAATCACACGGCAGTTTGGTGGATAGAAAACCTTGTGCTTCAGAGCAAGTTCAGAGTTGCACAGTCTAAAAAGAAAGAGCCCTCCCATGCCTTAGAAGGGCTGGGTAGCAGCTTCTGGTGATGGATCCAAAAACTCTCAGGTTCCAAATAAAACTTACATAAAACAGCATCATTTTGTACTCTTTTCATAAACTTGCAAAAACAAACAAAATAAAAATGTATCTATATCTGTGTACACTGCAAAGGGCAATTGAAACCTAATGCATACAAAACAGTTTACAAACTGTGACACACTAATGAACAAGTTCTCATTTGGAAGCAAAGCACCCAGCAGAGAGCACAACACACACGATGTGGCCATCATTAAAAATACCCTTCCCTTCATCAGACTCTTAGCAAGGAGTAGTTCTTAAAATTTTAGAGTTGAACTCTGATTAAATGAATAGAAATAATACGGTTACTTTATTTGCTTAAAATGTATCGTCATTGATTACAAATAAAAAAATTATACTAATAAAAGGGTAATATGCTAATCATACTGGACATCTTCCAGACAAAGCCACGGTGGGAGGGGACGAGGCAGAGGAAGTTAGGAGTAATCAGGCCAGCAGGGGAGGGCAGTTAGGGGCGATCAGGAAGGCAGGTAGAATGGATAGGAGCAATCGGGCAGGCAGGCACTTGATCAGTTAGGAGCCAGTGGTTCCGGATTGCAAGAGGGATGTCCCGGATTGGAGAGGGTGCAGGCCAAGCTGAGGGACTCCCTGCCCGTGCACAATTTTGTGCACAGGGCCTCTAGTGAAAACATAAAATAAAAAAAAGTCTATCATCGGGCATTTCAGACTCACCACAAGGTGTGTTGGTCACACATTCGGTCTCACAATGCAGTTTGACTGTCTTGGCAAGACCTCAATATTATTTTTAAATTGGCAGAGGCAGCAGGCCAAATGGTTAGGTAAGATACTATAAATGGAAACATACAGAATTATATTAGTGACAAAGGAGTTACTTGGAAAATAGTTTTTTAAAAACTTAAACATACACCTACTGTATGACCCAGCCATTCCACTTTCAGGTATTTACCAAGAGAAATAGAAGTATATTTCCATAAACAGACTTGTTCCCTGCCCATGCACAATTTTGTGCACAGGGCCTCTAGTGAAAACATAAAATTAAAAAAAAGTCTATCATCGGGCATTTCAGACTCACCACAAGGTGTGTTGGTCACACATTCGGTCTCACAATGCAGTTTGACTGTCTTGGCAAGACCTCAATATTATTTTTAAATTGGCAGAGGCAGCAGGCCAAATGGTTAGGTAAGATACTATAAATGGAAACATACAGAATTATATTAGTGACAAAGGAGTTACTTGGAAAATAGTTTTTTAAAAACTTAAACATACACCTACTGTATGACCCAGCCATTCTACTTTCAGGTATTTACCAAGAGAAATAGAAGTATATTTCCATAAACAGACTTGTACATAAATATTCATAATAGCTTTATTTGTAAGTCAAAAATTGGAATTCAAATAGCCATCAGTGTTGAAAATACTGATATATCCATTATTAATGGAATACTATTCAGCAATAAAAATGAATTATTGATATGCAAAACAACATGGACTAATCCTGTATAATAAAAGGCTAATATGCAAATCGACTGAATGACAAAATGACTGGTCACTATGATGCACACTGACCACCAGAGGGTAGATGCTAAACACAGGAACTGGCCCCTGGTGGTCATGCGCTGGCACAGGGGGAGCGCCTCTCAGCCAGAAGCTGGGCTCACGGCTGGTGAGTGCAATGGTGGTGGCTGCAGCCTCTCCTACATCCACGGCAGTGCTAAGGATGTCTGAGTGCTGGCTTAGGCCCGCTTCCTACAGGGAGCCATCAGTTGGGTATCCCCCGAGAGGTGGGCTGAGAGACCCCACTCCAGTGCATGAATTTCGTGCATGAGGCCTCTAGTCTTAAAATAATCATCTGAGTAAAGAAAGCCAGTAAGAGAGAGTAGATGTAGGTGTGCTGTTGTGTTGTGTTGTGTTTGTTTTTGTTGTGTGTGAGTGTCACTCGATGTGCCCTGGCATTTCCCCTCAGTCGGGGGAGTAGAGGTTGGGGTTCGTGTTTGGGAGAGCTCGGGTGAGGGCAGAGGAGGTGGGCAGGAGCCCGCAGCCATGGGCTGGGTGGGTACCTGTAGGCGCTGTGCCTCCTGAAGCTGCTTTCTGTGCAGTCACTGGCCGCATGGACCTCTTCCTCGCCCTCCCCTCCTCTTCCTCGGCGTCCTCGGAATCCAGGGCCTCCTCTGCTTCCCGGCCTCGTCGTCCTCTTCTCCTTCGTGGTCAACGTACACCACACAGCATTGGGTCTGAGCCACGGAGCCCCTTATGGCCCCAGGCGCTGGGGGTCGGGTTGGGGGAGGTGGGGAGGAGCTGGCGGCTGCTACCTCAGGTGACTGCTGCCCCGCCGCCCCCAGCCCCGCATCATCTAGGTCCTCACCTCAGCCACCTCGTCCTGCCCGGGAAGCGCCGCCAGGGGAGCGGAAGTGCCGCCAGGGGAGCGGAGCCCTAGATGGGTCCTGGTGCGGGCAGGAATGAGGCCCTAGGGAATTGCTGGGGCCTCACTCTGGACCACCTTGAAGCCCTAAGTCCTTTCCTCCATTTTGCTAGGTGACTGCTGGAACCAATGGTTGACAAGCAGCAGGTACCACAGGCCTGGAGCAGCGTGGTCACCTGAGCTGCACCTCCCAGGAGCCTAGAACTGAATGAGCCTCACTGATGCACTAAAGCAGCGGTTCTCAAACTGGGGGTCGAAGGACCCTTTCACAGGGGTCACCTAAGACAATCGGAAAACACATATATAATTACATCTTGTTTTGTGATTAATCACTATGCAATGAAAATACATCCTGCATATCAGATATTTACATTATGATTCATAACCGTAGCAAAATTACAGTTAGGAAGTAGCAACGAAAATAACTTTATGATTGGGGGTCACCACAACATGAGGAACTGTATTAAAGGGTTTCAGCATTAGGAAGTTTGAGAACCCCTGCACTAGAGGGAAATGTGCATACTGCTCAGACTGATGCCTCCCTGTTGCTGTTATGAGTATTTGACTTTTAATATTAATTTGGAGACATAACTTTTTATTTATTTATACTAGAGGCCCAGTACACGAAATTCGTGCATGGGTAGGCTCCCTAGCGGCTG